CAGGGCAAACCAACCAGCCTCCACCCATGCAACAGGCCTCTATCCTATATAGTAAAAGGGTAATATGCCTCCTAGCGCCAGGATCAGCAGATCCTCGAGGCCTCCTGGCCCCTGGAGCAGCGTGACAGGGGGCAGCGCCCAAACCCACTGATCGCCCTGCGGCTCTGTCTGTGACATGGGGCAGGGCCACAACCCCCTAATTGCCCTGCTCTGTTCATGACAGGGGGAGGCGCCCCAACTGCCCAATCGGCCCTGCACTGAGCCCGACTAGGTGCTGCACCTAGGGATTGGGCCTGCCCTCTGCCACCTGGGAGCAGGCCTAAGCCAGCAGGTCGTTATCTCCCAAGGGGTCCCAGACTGCGAGAGGGCACAGGCCGGGCTGAGGGACCCCCTCTCCCCCCGAGTGCACAAATTTTTGTGCACTGGACTTCTAGTATTTTAATGAAATCCTCTGACCTATTCCAGAGGATTTGGAAAACCTAGCCTAGAGGGGTAAAATCTGTAAAATAAATTGAATACAAAATGACAGACACAGCACCTATGTTAGTAGCCATGTTAGTACCTGCCCAGCCACATTGTTTTTTAAACCCCTGTGCTGGCAAAATAAAAAAATAAATAAAAATAAACATTTACCTATACCTCCAGTAGTCGGGTCTGTGATTCAGTGTCACAGTTTCACCCTTCCTAAGCCTGTTTAACATTTCCTCAAGTATAACTAAAAGCCATAAAGGTTAACCAGCCCTTGGAGCACACTTATAAGGTCAGATCACAGAATCAAAAATATAGAGGTTAGTGTAATCACCGCTCCTCCCCGAAACCTTTAGGACTCCAACATGTCTTTCTAAATCTGGATATAGTATAACTCACTCATAAAACCTACTCCAGATAGAATATATCACTTCCTCCTCTATGCTCCCCATAGCTCACTGTTCAAAGTATATCTAATTTGCAATTTCTGTTTACATAGCCATAGTTTTGCCTTCAGTTATTAACCCTCTGAGGCTCAGATCTAAGCATAAGCCCCCAAACACAAAGCCTGAGGCAAGAATATCTGTGACAGGTGTCAGTATGGCTTGCTGGACTGAATTTTCATTTTATTTTTGACCAAGTCCTTTAACAACTTAAAGGATTAACCTGATAGGAAGCAGCAACTAAATCAACCTGAATCTGCAACCTCGAGACCAGTTTCCAGATCAGAAGTAGTGATTGGCTGAGCAAACACTAAAGAAGAAAACAAGAACAGATGGCTCCTTGGTACTCCTTTCCCAATAACCTTTACATTTCTAAAAAAAACTTCAGTAGGAGTAAAATACATCCAGGGAGGTAAGTATGGTCTACTACCAGATAGAGCAGTGCTAGGACTTACAGTGTTACAGCCACAAGGTTTCCAGACAAAAATAGAGAGAACCTTCACTGAATCAATGATGGACTTCAGAGTTAAATCTCAGAGGTGCCAGAAATGGAAAGCTGAAATCTAACGTTCTCTTCATTCCTATAAAAGTACAGGTGTGCCTTAGAGATATTGCAGATTTGGTTCCAGACCACCTCGATAGAGCGAGTGTGGCAATATAGCGAGTCATAACCTTTTTGCTGGAGGAGGGTCTCACCTTCAATTTGTAGAGAATGCAACATCCGCGAAGTGCAATAAAGTGAAGGGCCTGCACCAGGAACTTACCTGATATGGGCACCTCAGAACAACAACTATAGTTAGGGTTGAAGAACATTAGGCATAGAAAGGAACCTAAGGCAAGGGTTTTCAAACTTTAAGCACACAATTGTCTCCAGGTCTAAAACAAGCCCAAATTGCCAGGTCACACTCCAGAGATGATAATATATGGGAGACCCAAAATCTGCATTTTTATGAAATAGTTCAGCTGCTTCTGATGAAAACTGGTTAAGGCTCCCAATATACAAAGCAGTGCCGTAAGAGACTGCCTATCCACTCTCTCATGTTAGAGATGGGAAAGTTAAGGGCAAGAAAACCTCCAGCCCCACTGGTCTTCTAGTTAAACAAAAGCTATGAATATGAAGGCAGTGTCACCAGATCTTCTGGGTTCACTGAAGCAAAACCAGAAATTCAGAAGCTTTGCTTTGGTATCTGAATCTCGGATGTAGGATCTTGGCAAGGGAAGAACTGTATCTGGGAAGGGCACCTCCATTGCCGTCTAGGGCTGGAAGGACCGGGTAACTCTCTCGGAAGACAGAAAGGGAAAGTCACCAATATTTTTCTTCTTCCTGCTTACTTGAGATTAAGGAAACACCTTATGTGAAATTTGGCTCCAGGTTTATTTCATAAGAACAGGTTGCTGGAGATGCTTACTAAAGACATTAGCTTATATGTATACACAATACCAGGCCTTGCAACAACGTCCTCTATTACCTGTGTCATGGAGGTGGAGCTGCTCCTCACTCTCTGAGAAGGGAGGAGTCCTGGGCCTGTGCTTCCGCTCTCTGCGCTCCCCTTGCCCACGCTCCCTCCCATAAGCAGCCTCCTTGCAGTGAATCCCTGCTTTTGGAGAAGACTTCGGGGAAAGCCTGTCTTGGTGTCTGGCATGTTTTTCCCAATTCCGAGTCCGATGGCTACTGCTAGCCTCCCGGTCATCAGATTCCGTGCTCAGAAACACTTCACCGCTGATCTTGGGAAGAGGAGGTCTCCGGGGCCTCTCATGGCCAGACCCTTTCCTTTCACACAGCTCAGTGATAATTTGGGGATCATCCCTCACTTTGCGTGAGCTAGAGGACAGAGACTTCTCAGGTAAACGATGCCCTTCCAGTTCTTCCCAGTTCTCCGGTGGATGTCTGTGTTTCTCCTTTCTCGGCTTCACAGTCTTTTCATCACTTTGGAGTTTACAAGACTTTGAGAATCCAGAACCCAATTCCCTTGCCCTCCTTGACCGTGGCTGGTCTGAGTGGCGGTAGAGGAATGTGGAAACAGAAATGCAGGTTAACTTAATCAGATTATGAACTCACTACACAAGTGAGACAGGATCCAAATCTAACCTGTTTTAAAATGAAGAGGACCACTTTTTCAACTTAACAAACTGAAAGTAGGAGATGGGCATCTACTGGAAGGATTCTGGGTACATAGCCAAAGAAGTAAAATAAATAAAGTAATTAATTCATTCAATCAAGTGAAATAAATCTGAAAGATCTTGATCATGATTAGGAAGAGTTAACAAAGTACTTTAATATTTGCCAAAAACAGAAATTACAGCCATTAAATGTTAAATTATACTTATAAAACCAATTTGGAACTGTATAAGGGGGAAATGGGGGCTGAGGAAATCTCATAAAACAGAAAAAACTAAGCTTTGTGATTCCAGTCAGAGGCTTTCAAATATTCTTCTTGGAAATAACAATAAATCAAGATCAGAATGTTGATAGTTTCCATGTAGTTCAGAGAAATGATCCACGGATTTTAGTATTCCTCTATCCTTTCCCCTTAGGTGGCCAAAGCAAACATTCCCAGCCATACTGGGTTCAATGTGAAAGAGGGTGAAGTAGAGGGGAATTTTAAGTGATTCAATGACCCTGTTATCTTTGGATAATTCTGCTCCCAATCTTACTTGAATCATGGCAGAGAAAAAAAATAAAAAGAGATGCCATCATGGAATACACAAAAAAACAGTCATTTCCTAAATTCATTTTTAAAACTTACGATTCTATATTACTTATATAAAAATACAGTATGTGCTAAATATACAAGTCCCTAAGTTTAACACCATGTTTAAAAGCAGCAAAATAGATAGGTGCTTTTGTTGGGTCTCACTTAGGCACAAGTATAGTATAGAAACAAAGGAAGTATATTAATATGCACTTTGCAAGAGTGTATTTATTTTAACATTTCTAAGCCAATAATACATTCAATACATTTTCAAAATAATAAAAGGAGACCCTAATTCCATGGAAAATTGCAAAGATAGCTGGAATTAGTCATTTGCTGAATTGCATTTGAAACAGCTACCCTAAGTTGACAGGATATAAAAGAAATAAAGAACTATACATTTTTTAGTTTCTAGGTTTTACTGTGGTTTGGGGGTTTGTTGTTTTTTTTTGCTTTGGTTTTTTGTTTGTTTTTTAGGTTTGTTATTATTAATCTAATAAAGGAATAGAGGAAGGGAAGATATATGGTAAATGCATCAATGATGCCATAAGCTTCTCAAACATTTTGAACTACTTCTTGAACTTAAGAAAATTTGCTTCAAAGATGACATCTAAATTAAGATGTCTTCTGAAAAGTCAGTAAAAGTACTCATCTTCAGAATTTATAGTTAAATTTATTTTTTACATAACAGCAAAAGTGAAACAGAACAATTACTCTGTAATTTTTAAAACAATAGCACCTACTCTTTTAACCAAACACTTATTTTAAGTGTATCTTGACAACTGAGAAAGAACCAATTGACTACTGCTGTGAATTAATATAATACAGACAGCTATTTGAATGATGACCACATCCAGGGAACAATGACTTGCAGTGTTAGTACCAGTGTTTCCAAAGACAGCTGCATGAGTGAAGTCCGCCTTTAAGGCCAAAAGAAACAAGAAGCGTTTTGTTTTCAACATGGATTTTTGAGGCTATGATTATTTTGTTGTTGGTGTTTTCAAATTCTTTCTCAAACGTTATATGGTATTAGTAGTTTTACTAATTAGTAGGGCAATGTGTTACAAGAAGGAAAGCAGGTCACTACATTTTCAGAGTTGATGGGATAAAAATATTTATTGTTTAGTTAATTTGCTGTGACATCTTTAAATATGGGAAAGAAAAAAAAAGACAGGGGTTGAGGAATCTGGATCCTTTAAAAACCCATCCAGTTAAGGACTGAGACTTGTACATTTCTTGAGACCAAGTTATTTGGCAAATATAATTAACTTCCTTATATACATATACAAGCATATGTAAATATATGTGTGTATATATATATTTTTTTTGGTGCCTCCATGTTTGTCTTTCAAAATAAGATGATGTTTATTTAGATATAAGAAGTACTTTGTTATACATACATAACATTAATGTGTATATATATATATATATATAAACAATAGTACTTGAGAGTTTATAGGTCTTCACCAAAATTACATTATTTGATCTTCTCAACATCCATGAGGAGAATATATTATTATAATCCCCATTTTACAAATGATAGAAAGGCTTAGAGTGATTATAATAGATAACTTCCTTAGATCGTATGACTCCAAAGACCATAACGTAAAAAAAAATCACTAATATACCTGCAATACAGGTAAGTGGCTTTGAAAGAAAAACATGGATTCACAAATGAGTAAGATATACCATTTCAGTTGATATAAATCTGACAGATATTGGTATAATCATAAATTTGTACAAAATTTATAAATGATCATTTTTAAAAGATTAATTTATTAAATTTTAAGTAAACACACCTGAAAGCTTCTGTAATAATATACTGTGATTATTAAGTAATTAAGGCAAAAATCGTATTACACAAAGACACAGAAGTACAATGAAAGAATATCTCTTATGTGTTGGGAAAGGACCACTGCAAAGAACATAAGGACCACTTTGTAAATACAAACTGAATTGTAATGTGATTCCTCTGATTTCAACTTGGGTCTAACTCAGAGGCATATAAGTAAGGATCACATGCTCAGCACTACATAATCTCTCAACAACAACACAACTGAAGACAATTCCAACATTTACAAGCATATGCTAAGGAGGTCACTACTTCATATTCCCATTCCCCCAAAAGTGGCATAGATGCCACTCTCTGTAAGTTTACAAAAGCAGTTAAGGTATATATAGGATAGTGGGTGTTGTTTTTTGTTTTAACTTTTACATATCCCTGAAAATCCACTGAATTCTTAACATATGATATGAATCAGGATGAGGGCACTGTGATCAAAACAACCAGGTTTGAGTTTCAATTCAAGTTAGAATACGGTTTTAAGAGAGAGAGACTAAAATTAATACTTTAGTATACTCATTGCCATCCTAATGGTTTTTATAGACTTGAAAGTTTAAAGTAGGTATTTTTATTTGCAATGAACATGCCTCCAGAGTAAAATTAAAAATGAAAACACATTCCTAAGATTTTAATTAAGTCTAAAGAGTAACTCTTTACCTTCTGGTCTTTAGTATAGCACAACAGGGCCATAATGTCTCTTTTTAAATGATGTACTACATGTCTGCATTAGAAAAATCAGTGTTAAGAAAAATGGGTATCCAAAAAAAGCTGGGCACTTTACATATGGAAGAAGAACACAGCAAGCAATAAATGGAGAATCAACCTGCTTACTAATTATGCCATAGGGCTGAGCTCTACTGATTATGATCAATTTGGAGGAACAACGTGACTGAGCAAGATGCACCTAAACTGTGATAATTCCATCATCTGCATATACATTCCTTTCATTCTACTCATAAAAACAAACACCCACTTACCTTTCTTAATGAAATTAGAGAGAAGCAACTGACAATTAGTTTGCAAGGGTCTTTAAAACCATCAAACTTAAATCTTTACTCTCTAGAAGCAGCCTTTAGATTTTATTTATTTGTTATCCTAAGTATGGCCTCTGAGCTGAACTACAATAAACACTCATACTAGAAACTATAGGAAATATCTTCCTTTGACAGATCTTATAAAGGACTGAGCAATAACCTGCAAATACTCGTTTCCCAACACACTGAAGGTGAAGAGCCACCACCACCGAAATTGCCCACCACCACTGCAAACACAGGCACTAGAAAGAGAAACTTTGAAGGGACTTCCTTCCTCCAGAAAGTTTTCTATGTGGTAACTGAATAGCAAAGAAAGCATCAAGAGCAAAATAATGAACAGAGAATCATAAATTTTAATTTGTCACCATTGGCTTATGTTTAAAAGACAAGATGAATGGGGGAAAAAGCTTTGAATCTAAGGATAGAGTAGGTCATGATGTAGGCAATGTTACCTCCGTCTTCGTAATAGTAACTCTCTCCATAAGCATTGGCTCCAGAGGATTCTGGGAAGTGTTTCTTTCGCTTTTTCTCTTCCTGTAACTCCTTTTCTTGCAAAAGGCGAGCTATGTCCTGCAAATAAAGAGAATGAAAATAAATATTAGCAAAACACAAACTCCATACGATGACCCCACAGGCCAATGATTCCACACTTCACTGCTAAGCTTTTGTAGGAGGGCTCTGTCTATGGTTCTGCAGACTTTCTGGTGTTAAACACATGCAATTTAAATAGCACAAATGAATGTTCAACGGGAGAGGCACAAGATCCAGATGACAGAGAAAGGTATTTTTTAAAATTTAAACTTAATCTGAAGATATTCAAACATAGTATACCAAAGTTGGCTATACAACAAAAATTCGTATTTGTGAGCCCTTTTCCCAAGACAATGATTCAGCAAGTCTGGGTGGAGAAGGATTCAGTAATCTATAAAACTTTGTAAATTGTATTTATGATTGAATGTTAAGAGTTTTTGGCTGATCCTGTTTGAGCTCTGCCATCAGGGTACCACTGTCTTAACTGAAAAAGAGAAAACAGTCTTCCTCCTGTCTCCCCTCTACTTCCTCTCCAGGCAAGATTTAAGCAATTACTGAATGCTGAACAACATTCTAACCCTGTCCCCCAAATATTACCATCTCCCAAAAAAAAGAAAGGTGCATACAAATAACTACAAGTACATTATAAAACCTCAAAAGAAGGATAAAAATGCCTATGGGACTACAAAAAAGCGAATCTTATTTCTCCTTAAAGGAATTAGTGCAAGTCTTTGCAACTGTGTTTAGTTTTGAACAAAGAACTGGATTCCAATAGGTAAAGTAAAAAGAGAGAACATCAGCAAAATTATGTCTTAATGGATATTAATCTACAGAATGATCAATAGTCCAATTAGATTGTGAAGTGTTGCAGAGAAAGGTAAGGCTAGAAAAAATACTCTAAGGCTGAATCACAGGCATTCCTTGAAGACAATTTTAAGAAGTCTGGAGTAGATAACGTAATAAATGAAGGGTTACTAAATGTTTTGAGCTGAAAAGTGACAGTGTTCTGAATCTGAAGATTATTTCTATAAAAGGCCCATAAAATAACACATAAACTTTGCTTGTGTAGACTTTTTGAAGAAAAGGTCCATCGCTGTCACCAGACTCGTAAAGGCTCATACAAATATAGCAACACTCCATGGTGCAAACAGTAATAACAATGGTAGTTTGAGGTGCTTATTTCTTTGTATTTATAACAAGAAATATAGAAGTGCCTAAATGTTAGTGTAAATTTTGAAGAATCAATTACTATTCTTCTTTTTGCAATTTTCTGAGTAAGTCAAAATGAAGAATATAGTAAGACTGGAAGACCAAAAAAATGCCATTTAAATAATTTTTTTCACACATCAGTGTAAAAATAAGTTGGATGCTGAGGCTAGATAAATTAGCAATGATTATCCAGATACTCAATATTTAATGTTCACCAAAATAGGCTTACAAATCTGACTTTATATTAAATAATGCCTAAATTCAAAGTTATAAATACACTGTTGCCTTTATTTGAGTGCTACCTACACTGGAAGATTCTCATAAAACTGTGAGAAATATAAATAAGTACATATTTATATTTTGGTAAATAATCTATATAAAAGCCCATGTTATAGTGTCAGACACTTGAGTGTGCACTCACAAAATGTTGCTACTCAAAATGAGAGGTAAAAAACACAATCCTACTTCACACACACCATTTTCATGCAAAGAAATGGTCCCTAAGTCTGAAGTTAAGATGATTTCCTTTTTCCTTCTAGTTCAAGCCAGAGATGTTCTAGAGACACTGTGAAATACTAACCACTAATATGAGTTTCTTTGGGCTTCAAGTCTTTATCTATGCAATGAAGAGTTTGAACTACTCAATCTTAAAGTCAAATATCTTGACTCCCTAAGATACCATTTTAATAAATCTCTGAGTATTACCAGGTACCAGCTGCCGTGCCAGGTTTATTACATTTGATGCCTTACAAAGCAATATGTCAATCGGGACAATAGAGAGGTGGGACAGACAACTTGTTCTCCCAAAGTTATCATCTGTTATAGGATTTCCAAAAATCCTATACTTTTTGCTTCAGAAGTAGGGAAAAATGCTAACAATTCCCTAAGTCATCATGTATTAACACTACATTTTCCTAAGTGGTTTACAGAAAACAAAAAATTCCCCTTGCTATAACCGAGTAAAAAATATAAGGAATAATTATCAGCTTCAAATGTCAGCAGAAATTATTAAACTACACTCCATAGACACCTTATAATTGCTTTCCTACTACTGAACTTAGTCTTAATAAATACATACTAATAAGTTGCTTTCTCAGTGTGAAAACCCAGCAGAGAAACAAGGATGAGGCTCCTTTACCACAACACATTAGCTAGTCAAAAGAACTGATGTTAATCAAGTAGAAAAAAAATCATGTCTCATGCACCTTAGCACCCAAACCTTTTCCTTTTTGAAGCTCTTGGCTCTCTGAGTAAGATTCTACCTGGTAAGAAAAAGATTACCTAAGCTTGAGGAGTGAAAGAATAAAAGTCAATGGAAAAATAAATGCTTTAATATAACAGTGGTTTAGCTTAAGTCAATTCTCCCCTGTGCTTTCCAACATTATTACTGTGCAATGAGTTCAACTGGATGATTTCAATATAAAAAATTTCCCCTGAAACAAGCTTACAATGGCAACTATGAGTCACAATGCTTGGATGCGACATTAATAACCTCCTTGGTCTTCAGCTTCTTCCTGTAAAAGGTTAATCTAGAACAGGATTTCCCAAGCTCTGTTCCTAAATACAGAGGACTCAAAAGGTTCTCCTAAAAAATTCAAAGCATTCCATGGAAAGCAGGGATTATAGCTAACTTTTTAAAATGAGCATTAGGATATTTTAAAACTTTGATAAAAGAGACCTGTTATCTTCCTATAATTCATGAATTTCTAAATTTACTTTGTGGCAGAAGCTTTTTTTTTTTTACATAAAAATATAAACCTTATGGAATTAGTGTTCCATAAAACATAACTTGGGAAAACAAAGCTAAAATAACTCATAAGCCCTTCTGAAGTAATTTTCCATGATTTTTTTTAAAAAAAGTATCTTTTTTGCTGAAAGGATTATAGATGTCCCTTTTTGTTTCCCCACTGATCCCCTCCAAACCACCCCACCCTTCCCCAGGTCGTCACCACGCTACTGTCTGTGTCCATGGGTTATGCATATATGCATATAACTTCTTTGGTTAATCTCTCACCATCCACCCTCCCACCCCCACCTTCCCTCTGAGACTCAACAGTTTGCTCCATGCTTCTATGTCTCTGGATCTATTTTGTTCATCAGTGTATTTTTTTTTAATTAATCATATTCATCAGGTAGACTTACTTTGGACTAACACATACAGAATAGCTGTGATATAGAAGACTTTCTGGCCATTTATTGGAATGACAATTTACCATTACATCTCATCTCTCCCCTTTTTGTTATCCAAGTCACCCAACTGGAAAATCTGAAGCTGTGAGCATAAGAAAGAGCACAGTAGAAAATCTCTAGAATGTTAAGGAAAGTCATTTTAATGAAAACAAAGATTTGCTGAACACCTTCAATGGGCCAAACATACTGTTAGAAGCCTGTAGAGAAACAAGACATAGTCACTATCGTGAAAGTCCTTATCTATCAAGTATTAGAAGCAAATAATTACATAATGTAAGATGTGCAAAGATAAGTGCCCTACGCGAGGCATTAATACAAGCAAGGTGAGTTGGAGCCCACAGGAGCCTGGCACATTTTTCTCAAGCAGTTGACAAATTACTGAACCATGGTGTTGGATTCCTTAAGTATTTTTATGGTTTATATGATTTCATAACAGGGTTATTTCTCCCTGGGGAAATCTTGGGTATAACAACAACCTAAAGGAGATCTAAAGTCATGATAGTCAAATGACTGTCAGAAAGAAGAAAGAAAAAAAAGAAAGCCATTCCATTAGATTGCTGAATTTTTTACCAACTAGCAATAACTTTACCATCTAACTCAGTAGGGATTTCATAGCAGGTATAATCCCAAAAGGGTTACTGTATAATACTAGGAAAACAAGATCATTCCAATACTATGGATGCAAAAACATCAGTATAAATAGGATAAAAACAGAGAAGACTTTTTCTTAGCTAGAGTTTCCCATTCACTATCCCTTTATTGCTATATATATATATATATATATATATATGTATATATGTATTTAGTGCTAAAACATAGGAAAATTTTAGTAACTAAAATGTTTTACTATTTGAGCTATTCTCTAAATATCACCAACTTATATAAAAATTCTTCTAGACCATGGAATTCAAATCAGTTAAAAAATGCTATGAAAAAAGTAGCATGGTCACACTCGATTAATTTTTAATGTAAGTTGGTTACTAAATATGGACAAGCAGTGCATATTATAAATAATTTTAAATTGCTGGACTAGTGCCACAGACTTTTTATAACATGGTTGGCTATGTTGTTTACTTATGAAAAAAAAAAGTAGTTTTTTTTTCTAACAGCCACATATATTTGGACTTGTTGGCTGTGAGAATGGCAACAGGTGTTAGAACGGTTGGGTCAGACTAAACCTGGGTTCAGCAACCGTGGTATTTGAGCTCTGGCTAGGAAAGAATTCAGAGCCAAGACTCAATAAGAGAAAGTTTATCTGGAAAGTCACAGAGGTAGAAGTGAGTGGTACAAGCAATGTAGGAAACCAGTTACAGAGGCAAAAGAAGGGCACTTAGGGCTTAGGAATGAGAAGGATAAAGGTAACATGCCTGGGGTAGGAGGAAGAGGAGAAAGACTAGGGTATGCTCCTAGGTCCTCTGTCCTAAGAGCCTTTAAGGGCAGAGGTTTTATGAGAAGTCTCAGGGGAGGATCCTGACAGAATATTCATCAGCTTTCTACGTGTGTCCGTTCAGGGTCATGGTCTCCACTCACTGGTTGGCACCAAGATAGGGGGTCATTATCCAATGCAAGTGGTCCTGAGGTCAGCCTGTGGGGACGCTTTTCTGGTTTTGCTGCTTTTCTGGACCTCGATCTGAAACACAACTGAGGTCTACATGTATTTGATGTGGGTCAGAACCTTAATGTCCTGGGGGCTTAATGATTAAGGGCTATTTTCCCACCCTCGTAACCTCATAACTAGCAACATGCCAGGGAAGGAAAGGTCAGGGGGGTCCAGACCAAATGACCAGCGATATGAAAGGTCCGTGGGTCTAAACCAGATGACCAGCGATAGGCTAGGGGAGGAAAAGTTACCCTGGGGGCGAGGTCTTTGTTTTCCCAGTTTTGCTCATTGCTAGGCACCGGGAGCTTTCCACCCTGGTGATCTTCTACACCTGGCCCATCATCCTTGCTCTGTTCATGTCTGTCTAACTACAAACCTAAGTTCAAAGACACACATATGTATTTCTATGGATAGTCTCTCTCTCTTTCTCTCTATCTCACACGTACACATACAGATAGATACACACACACTTTCTTAGAGTTTTATTTAAGAATAACTAAGTTAAATGAACTAAATACACACTCCTTAGCCTTATTAAAGGGCACTGACAAATGCTAATGTTGTGATCAAGAGAGGGATCCCAGTGAAATTAGTCCACTTGTACTAATCACAAACTAATGCTGTACGGTATTCCCAAAGGCTACAAGCCCTTTCAACAGGACACCTAGAAATACATGCAGATACTGTTTTTAAGACATTGTTAACAGTTTTTTAAAAAAGGAAGAAAGAAGAAAAGGAGGGAAGGAGAGAGGAGTAACGAGAGAAAAGAGGGGGAAAGGGAGAGGGAAGGAAAGCGGGGAGAGGCCACAGTGCTGATAAGAAAGGTTTTGCTGCTTTTCTGGGCCTCGATCTGAAGCACAACTGAGGTCTACATGTATTTGATGTGGGTCAGAACCTTAATGTCCTGGGGGCTTAATGATTAAGGGCTATTTTCCCATCCTCTTAACCCTCATAACTAGCAACATTTTCCTTTCCTTTTTTTTAAACTTTTCAACAGCTGTCTCCCTGAAAGGAAATGCTACTTTCCTTCGTCTGTGCTCTGTTAAAATCATAATAAAATTATACCAGAACAAAGCTAGACATGCTGATTCACCCACAAAGTTGTATAACTCTTAACTCTCCTGCACAATGTTGTTCAGAAAAAGAAAATCTGTATCAAGAGTAAAGGGGCTTTGAATTCTACATCTGGTTGTTTTAGGAGATTTATAAAGTACCCAAGAGAGTTGACCCCAAAAATTTCTAAAAGAGATTTGGGTGAAAATTCAGAGAGGAATTTTCCACATCCCTGCTGTTGAATAAAAATCGGGGAGGGTGGGAGGGAGGAATTAAGACAGTTCATAACTAACAGGCAAGGCTTTTGGAATATTTGGCAGGAAAATGAGCACTACTGTCTCAGTCTCCTTTGTGAGCCAGCTTGGATGAAAATAAACCAATTAGCATTATCATACATCCTTCAAGGACAAACTTTACTAATGCAAATTTTGTTCATTTAATATTAACAACATACCTGTAAGCTGAGAGTCACATCTTTCTACCATAAAAGGAACCTTCTAATCTAAGGCACCAGTTGAAAACTCAAAAAGTCTGAACGGAGTTTTTAAAGGCTAGCCTAGCTAAATCTCCACAACTGCGTTTCTCATTTAACCTCTCTGCTGTCCAGGGGCAGGGGAAACATTTCAGTAGGTCAAACAGTGGGGAAGGCAACGTAGTGAGAGGCCTTTAAGGGCAAGAAAACTCCTGAAGATCCCTCAAACCTCAGCATCCTGGAATATACTAAGCCTATATATTTGTCCCACTCTCTAACTTATCACATATCTCCTCTAACTTATCCATATCCCTACAAGAGAAATCTGAGTTGCTTTAAAGAGCAGAATGGTGAGAAAAACACCTTGCAAAAAAGCAAAAAGAGCAATTATTAAATTAATATGTATCGAAGGTCTTTTGTACACCATCTCATTTAAACCTCATAACAGCTCTTTTAATTATGTATAACTACCATGACTTCTCCAATACAGAACCTGAGTTTCTACACGTTTAAGAAAGATACTGAAACTCAAGGCTAAAAGTTAAACAGCTAAGATTCAAACCCAGGGCAGTTAACTTCAAAGTCTACATGTTTTATGTCATGTCACAATATAACTAAGTCAGAAGCTGTCAGTCAAATCTGTATTGTATGTACAACCATTTCTCTGGTACCTTATTACAGCTTGGGACCAGTCACTTTCTTCTTCAAGTCAACTTCTACATCTGAAAAATGAACTTTTTCACTACACTGCTTACTTTATATATATTACCATTGGGTTATTTATTGAGATTGCTACTTAGATTCTACATGCGTAAAAGAAAGTGTTTTGGTTTCTCCTTATAATCATTTGTCCCTGAATGAGGCAGGGGTGGGGAGGAAAATCACAGGACACCAGTAGCATTTATCAGAAGCAAGCTATTACTCTGTTATTTTAAAAAAGCTTTCCTGTCTACAAAATATAAACACTTCTTTCAGTTCCAAGTTTCATTCCGAAAGCAAAGTCTTGACTATAGAGAAGCAACACATTTTTCAGGAAGAAAGAGCTCCTGTGCTGATAACAGGAAGGATAGGAGGCAATCCCTAATTCCTACTTCCAGTTCGGATGACCACAGAATTGTGGTTTATTTCTTAAAGATACAGCTAAATACACTCATACAGTGAGTGTCCCATACTCATCTGTCAATGAACAAACAGTTCTATGGAACCAGGATGGCTCAGTGAGAGTAGCAATGTGTACAGACTAGTATACTGGTGACCCTGCCCATATCTACTTAATAGGGCAATCATATGTGTCAGTTAGCTGAGGGCAATTCCAGATTATGTAAATTATTAATAGTGCCCCCTTTAAACCTACGAAGTATTTATAATTATATAATAAATCATATGACCATTATATTATTAAAAATGATAAATCATTTACTTATTATAAATCAAGATAGTGGCCAAGAATAGCATAATAGGTATGAAAAGAAATTAACAAATGCAGAAAACATAACACAAATGCAGGTAACAGTTGCATATTCAAATCTTAAAAACAAATACTATTGCTAATTTTAGGCATTTTTGGCTTTAAAAACAATACAATTTAAAAATATATACACAATCAAACAGATCAGTGCTTTGAGTCAACGTATCATAGGGAAGTGAAACAATTAACAAAAAAGAGAGAGCAATGATTGCTCCTGACCCCTGCTCAGGCCACACTTAAGTTCTGCTCACATTAAAGTTGTGGCAATACTCTATAGACAGACATCCTGTATTGGGTTGAATAGAGTCTCCTAAAAGTTCATTTCTAACAAGGACCTCGTAATGTGAACTTATTTAGAAATAAGGTCTTTAAGGGTGTAATTAGTTAAGAGGAGTCACATTTGATTGGGGTAGGTCCTCAACCTAAAGACGATGTCCCTGTAAGAAAACAGAGGACACAAAGATACAAGGAAGAAAGCCACATGGCAATGGAGGGAGAGACTGAAGTGATGCAGCGACGAGCCAAGGAATGCCAAAGGCTGTCAGGAGCCACCAGAAGCTAGGACATGGCAAAGAAAGATCTTTCCCGATAGCTAGCATAGCCCTGCCAACATCCTGATGTCAATTTCTAGCCTCTAAAACTGCAAGAGAATAAATTTGTCTTGTTTTAAGTCACCAAGTCTGTGATAATTTGTTATAGCAGCCCTAGGAAACTAACTTACCATGTTTTCAGATTTCACTACATGCAACTGATCGGTGGGCAATAAACAATGGTCTATGGAGGGCAACGCTTGGACTATGAACCCAAAAGAGGAGAGTTCTACTGCCCATGCAGCAGCCATACACTGAGCCTAGGAACACAGAAAGGAACTGCTCCAGAGCTGAGCAGTCCTTCCTCCCTTGGGTGGAGGGGCATTAACCAACCTCATCCTTCTTCTCCTGAATGCGTCGTCTCTCTGCCTCAATAGCCAGCTTTTCCTGGATTTCCTGAGCAATTTCACAGTCCTGTTGTTCACTAAAAAACAAAAGTCAAAACAACATGAGTAAAGAAAATAAGAAGCAATGTACTGACTACTCACTATGAGCTAGTCCACATTTTTATCTCAATCCTCACAACAGTGTTGCAGAGCTTGATGTTGTCACCACTCACAGATGAAGAACTTGAGGCCAAAGTAATGAAATTACCTCCCTGAGGTCACAGAGAAACTAAGTGAAAATTTGATCCGGACACTACAATGGAAAGCCCCATGCTTTTTCCACACTATCATATCACCTCACTCCACTGGGACCACCTACAGAGAGACAGGCATGTTTTCTGTAAGATCAATCTCCACAAATGCATAGAGAGTACACAGAAAAACACTGGGAGTGAGATCACTCAATGTCAACAATACTGTGATCACCTAGGGGCGGTAGTATGACTTTGGTGTTTATAAATTTTTAATTGTATATATTTTTTTGTTTTGATAATGTTTTTAAAAAGGGAAAACATGTATACCCCCCAGCTTCGATTCCCAGTAGAAACCTCTCTGGCTGATTCTAGCTTATTTAATACTCTGGCCACTGAGACAACTGCTGTTACCATAGTTTTGTTTGTTTTGGAATGCGGGCATTTAACAAAGATTTAAACATACTATTTTCTTATATGCAGATTCTATGCTCAACACTGAGGATACAAAAATGAGTTAGTCTTGCTCCTATGCCCAGAAGCTGCTAATACACTTTTGATTGGAGAAACAGATTCTTTAAAACAGCACCCATAAAACAGTTCTAACAGAAAATTGAGTTTGGATCTCTCAGAAAGGGCTACAAGTCTTCTGGCTTCAGGTTTCAAGAAGAATCAATGGGCAGCTTAAAACTCCAGAACATGATAGATCTGGGGAGACAACTTTTACACAGTGTTAGCTCGGAAAGATGAACATACATGCTTAGAGTTTACTATCTAAAAAGATGCTGAAATAATTACAATCGTGACTTATGTAAGTACTTTGTTTGCTAAACAAATATATCTTCTTAGTTCTCCCTCAGCCAGTTGACCTTAAAATACTCAAGGAATCTTCAGTGTTGGCTATATAATATGGTTTTTAATTGAGTTTATAGAAGTGATATTGATTAATAAGATTATATAGGTTTCAGGTATACAATTCTATAATATGCCACCTATATATTGTATTGTGTGTCCACCACTGCAAGTCAAGTCTCCTTCCAGTACCATTTATCCCCCCAAACCCTCTTTTACCTCCCACCCCCGCTGTATAATCTGTTTAATGGCAGTCTTTTGTAATTGAAAAGTACTGTGGGGATAGAGGAGAGTGGCAATATCCTAACTTTTCTATACAAAACTGAGGGATAAAATAATTAAAATTATTCTCATTTGCACAAAGAAACAGTCACTCTCAACATATTTTGAAATAGGTAGATGTAGGTGAAAACAGATGTGTGCACACATAGGAGTGATTAGGCACACATGACAGAAAGTGAGAATACAAGATAGAGAGCACAGATCAGAGATGCAAGTCTTTCTCAGAATCAGGGGGAAAAGAACTGGACAAAACGTCTTCAGACCAGATTTCTGGTCCTCCCAGTGACATATGCCTGCTCATGTCACCTAATCATCTATAAAAGATTTTGGATTTAATGACTTCATATTTCTGGCCTTATATTCAAAGGTGTGTAATCTTCCAAACCAAAAAACTGAAAATAAGCAAAAAATCTACTTAGAATAATGTTTACTTATACTTAGAGCCTCCTTTCATTCACTCACTTCTAGTAATTAAGGATCATACACAAAATCATAGTTTTCAAAGACTGTGCTACCTGGATCTTCCAAATTAACATAAAATCTGATTAGGCGTAAGCACTATGATCTACACATAACGTGATAACAGATGGGAAGAAAGCAGGACACAGTAGAGAAGGGAAATCCAAATGAAGTGTTAAAGGTCACAAGAGTCATAGAAGATGAATGTCCCAGTATAGAAAAGAAAGAAATGAAGTTTAAGTTGAGCTTCATGATTTTAAATCAGTTCTACTTTACTTAGCTAATTATATAGACTCCCGAGGAAGCAAAATCCAGTGAGAAAAGAGTAGTCAACACATAAACTGATGAACAAAAACAGATCCAGAGACAGAGAAGCATCGATCAGATGCTCAAACCTCAGAAGGAAGGTAGGGGAAGGTGTGGGGAAGGGGGAGAGATCAACCAAAGGACTTGTATGCATGCATATAAGCATAACCAACGGACACAGACACCAGGGGGTGAGGGCATGAGCGGGGGGTGCGGGGACAATGGGGGGATAAGGACACATATGTAATACCTTAATCAATAAAGAAAGAAAAAAGAGTAGTCAACAATCTTCCCAAGCCTGACTTTGGACAGGAACCCTGGGATCCAGAATGAGTGGAAGGTTCTAATTCCTTCAAATCTAAGTATGTAATCCTCCTCTTGCTGTTCAGCAGTCAAGACTGCCAGGATGTAAAAAATCAAAAAACTTCATTTCTAACT